GAAGAATTTCTTAATGCATGCCAGGCATTGAGCCAATATTTGCCGGAAACTGGGACCACCACTGACCGACTCTTGGTATTTTGATTTTTCATTGTCGTGTAAGATCTCTGCATGTTTAAGCAGTTAGCTCCAGCTCAGCAAAACTGGTAGCAGTTCTGTTGCCTGAGGCAGACAGGAGGCCTTCTTCTGTAGCCAGAGTCCTTCTCCTCTGGGTTCTCTCTCTTTGGCTCACACAGTGCTGCCTGAGGTGATTGATTATGCTGAAAAAGTAGAACCAATTGACAAGCTCAGGGAAACAGGCCAAGTGCGAGAGGCACTTACCAAGCATTATTATTTGCCTCAGCCTTGAATGTCTGTCATAAAATGTTGCTTGTGGCTTAGGCTCAAAATGGCCTCATGGCTTGAGAGAACTGTGTATGCGAAAAAGGAAATGTAACTTCTATTCCCAGAACTGTGAGATAGTGGGCAAGCTGGTTTACCTCTGACGACCAGTTTCCCCATGAAAGAAAATGATGGAGGGGTAGGATGTTTTCATCTCCTTCAAGACCTGACATTTTGTTCTGCAGTCATTACTGATTTTCTTGTAGGCTACCTCTGGGTCAAGGGACCAGAAACAAGAAAATATGTCTGTTTACTTCTGAACACCTTCATGGTCCAAGGGAATTTAAACATATAACTATTGGGCTCTACTTCAAACCAATAAATACTGACACAGACACATTTTCCCAAGTTGCCAGACCAGGCAGTATGACCCCAAGTGTAGCAACCCATATTTCTAAAACTCATTTTGCTCTCTTTGCAGGGAGCCCTTGGAGTTTCTTGTTTTATTTATTTTTTTTTTTTTTATCAGTTTAGCAGTGAGTGCTTATTATGTGGCCAATCCAGTTTTACTATTTCATTTTAGTTGATTTGACATATAGCTATTCCCAGATCGTTAAAGAAACAGAATGCAACATAGATGTTTACCAAAGTTCTGGTTATTTATTCTTAAATGAATTAAACAACTAAGCTATTTTTTTTAGTTCTTTATGGAAAACTCACCAATATGTTCCTTAACGTTAATATCTTTTTCCAGACTGTTTAGAAAATTCCGTGGTAAAAGGAGATAGATATGTAAAAACATTTCCACCACAAAAGTTCATTTTCTGCCCTAGAAAAATAATCAGAGAATATGTTTAAGTCAAGCCCTCCTCCACACCCCTGTTAAGGTTGACGCACAAGTTCACCAGCTACCTTAGAGACATAGAGAAGTGTAGCAGAACCGTGTCCTGTAGGGCTATGGGAATAAGGAAGTCTGGTGTGATTTTTGCCCATTTTATAGATGACACAAGCAAGGGTGCATCTAACTTCCAGAGTCACACAGCAGAGCAAGGACTTCAACCTTTATCTGATTTTCTGACTCCAAATCCAGCGCTATTTCCAGTATAAAAGCATACTTCCTTTTATCAGAATAAGTGTGGCATCATTCCTAAGATACCCCAACCATTTGTTTTCTCCCTTAGGTAATAATCCAAACATGTCCTCTTTGGGGGCATGTTCATACACAGTGCTGATATCACTGACCCTGGGACTACCCTCATTCATGATTCTTGTCTTAGGACAGGTTCTCTAGAGAAGCAAAATCAGTGAAGCCTATATTTGTATACAGAAAGAGAGATTTATACCAAGGAAATGGCTCGAAGTTGTAGAGGTGGTTAGTCCCTCATCCGTGGGTTCCATGTCAGGCTGGAGGCTCTGACTCATGTAGCTGCAGGGCTGGTGAACCAAGATTGGCAGGTCAAATGGCAGGCAGGCAGTAATAAGACAGGCTGCAGATGACTCCCAGGATGGGCAGATAATAGAGCAAGCTGTTGGCTCAGTTCCAAAGAACTGGAGGTCAGAGGATAAACCAAACGCAAGATCCAGAACCAGCAGAGAGCAAGCAAGCCTTGTCTGAGTGTCCAATATATTTGAAGCAAGCCACACCCCTGAGGAAACTTACTTTCAATTGATTGATTGTTGTAGCAAACTTCATAATAGAGTTGAATATGCTACATTAGATATCATCATAGTTCATAACTACATTTAACTGCCAAGTCACTGAGAATCCTAGCCCAGTCAAGTTGACACAAACCCTTAACTATCATAGTTTCTAAGGAGCTGAATACAACATCTATTTGGATCCTACACCAAGCTGTTAAACATTTTACTCTGAAGGTTCTAGCAAAGCTTGAAAGCCAAATAACTCAAGCATACCTTTTCTATTTTAAGCATTTGTTGTTGTTGTTTAGTGCTGTTGAGTCGGTTCCGACCCATAGCGACCCTGTATAGGGTTTCCAAGGAGAAACTGGTAAGCTTGAACTGCCGACATTGCAGTTCAAACGGCTTTGCAATCTGGCGCATTAACCCACAGTGCCACACCAGGACTCTATTTTAAGCATACACTGTGCATATTGTTTGTCTTAGCTTTAAACATGCATTTCCCCCATTAATTAAATATTGTGGCTTTCCAGCGCTGCCTATTAAAAACACACAAGAGCCCTGGTAGAGTTCTATAGGGCAAGGTCATTTTTACTATTTTTACTATATCATTTAGTTTATTTAGCAAATAGCTATTCCCAGATCGTTAAAGAAACAGTACGCAACATAGATGTTGACCAAAGTCCTGATTATTTATTCTTAAGTGAATTAAACAACTAAGCTATATTTTCGTTCTTACTACAGGCTGAAACCAGGAGTGTGAAAGAGAGAATCATGGTTATTTCATGTATGCAGGGATGTGATCTAAATTTATAGTTGTCTCAGACTGTCATGTAGTAGGGTTCTTATTGCTGGTATTTCTCTCCTAGTCTCCTATATTTCTACCTTACCTGGGGGTGATTGCACAGGTACAAAGTATGTGGTTAATCCCCAACTCTGAACCCTCCAGGAATAAATCACATGGAGAGTTGGAAGCAGCTGAAGGGATAAAGGTAGAAGTCAACATCCCAAGCTGACTTTTCCTAGTGGAAACTAGCACCCCATTTGGGGCACTCCAGACCAGGTACCCTTCTGGAATTAGAAACTTTTGGTATTTCAGAGGCAAAGCTTGAATACCGTCAGTCAAGAGTGGTTCCGCATCTCCAGCCGGAAGTCATCTAACCCTGCTGTGGTGGCTACCTACCTCCGTGGGGTCCAGTCACACTCTCCCCACTTACTAAAGCTGCTTGTCAACTTGGCTGATGGCAATGGGAACACAGCCCTTCACTACAGCGTTTCCCATTCCAACTTCTCCATTGTGAAGCTGCTGCTGGAAACAGGTTAGAAATGATTGCATCTGCTCAGCCGAGGTCCGGCTGTGTAGGGCAATTCAGGTATTGCACTTCTATCCATCAAGGACATTCCTCACTGTTCTGAGTTTCTCCTGTATTGCAGGAACTGAGCTAGACCATTTTGTCTTTTTTATGCCACTTATTATTCACAATGCTCTTGGTTGACGTGGGTATTATCCTCATTTTGCAGTTGAAGACACTGAGGCTCAGAAAGTAATGAAACTTGCTCAGGTCCAAGTGCTGGTAAGTGATAGTGAGGATTTGAACTCTGGCTGTCTGACACATTGCCTCTAGAGATGATCATGTTTTAACCATTTTCATAAGATACTTTTTAACAAAGGCCGTGGCTCCATCTCATCTGTTGGATTCATTCATCCCTTGTCAGATATAAAAGGCCTATACTGGCTACTACATGGGATGCAAAAGTGAGCCAGGTGTGAGACCTCAGCTTCTAATGAACATACAACCTAATGATCAGGGTGAAATAGGATGATGATTCATAAGAGAGAGATGCAGAATGTGTCTTAAGGACTGAGAAATGAGAATATGTCCTGTTGCATTGAGGGGTAGAGTTTCAGCAGACCAAGGAACTGTCTCAGATGAGGCATTCTGCTCCCTTAAAGATCTGCAACCTCAGAAACCCTATATAGGGTTGCTATGAGCCAACAGCAGTGAGTTAGTTAGCTAAGCAATTGACATACATTTTATCATTTCATCTTATAACAACTGTAATACTAAGCATTATCATTTCTGTGTTAGAGATGAAGAAGGTGACACCGAAGGGAACACCCTTGCCTAGATAACTCAGTGAGTAAGTATGTTGCTAGGACTTTAGGTCAAGGCTCATGAGTTGGCTGTTTCCATTGCTGCCGCCCAGGAATTGGAGCATATGCTGTATTTGTGATCCTTATTTTAGGAGCCTGAGTTGCAAGTTTAATGGGGCATTAAGAAATATGAAATCAGGATCCAGCAGCTTTCTCCCAACTTGAATCTTATCTGTACAGGCTTAAATCCTTTCATGCTGCTCTTGAATGAAAGACACCATCCCCATCCTGGTCTTCAAGATCCCATACACCCCAGCTCCTGCCTTACCTTTCCATCCCTGCTGCCATGATACTTTCCTCTTTCCCTAAGTGTGCTGGCCTCAGACTCATCAAGCTCCTTCCCTTCTTGGGACCTTTGCAATTTCTTTCTTTCTGTCTGGACTGTTTTCCTAAGGCTCTTTCATAACTGCCTCCTTCTCAGTATTCAAGTCACAGCTAAACTATCACCTCCTCACAAGTCACCTCCTGTAAAGTGGCTGCCTCATCTCTCTTTCTCTCTCTCTCTTCGGGAGTACCCTGTTTATGACTGTAGATGGTCTTTGCTTGTCTTTCTGTCTAACAGAATATGAACTCCAAGAATGGCTCTTGTCTTTGTTGTTCATGCCTGTTTCACCAGTCCCTAGAACAGTTCCTGGCCGACACATACTTATTTTCAATCCGCTTTTTCCACAAACTTTTTGCATCTCCCACGTAGTAAATGTTGAATGAATCTGTCAAATGAATGAGTAGATTCCTGGGAGCTAAGTAAATTCCAAAACTTTAAAACTTCCAATCCTCTAAAATTTTGTTAAGCAGTTTTGAGGCTTTTTGCCTTTCTTGTTTTATGCTATAAACATATGACATAAATATACATAATGACAGACTAAAATTCTGCCTGGATGGATCAAAAGGTTAACGTGCTCAGGTGCTAATGGAAAGGGTGGTGATTTGAATCCACCCAGAGGAACGTAGGAAGAAAGACCTGGTGACCTACTTCAGAAAAAAAAAAAAAAATGAGCCATAGAAAGCCCTATGGAACACAGTTCTGTTATGACACACATCTGGGTTTTTTGGATTTTTTTTTTCTTCTTTAGTTTTTTGAGATCTAATTACTTCCCACATCATCAAAGGAAGACTAAATTACAGACCTAACACTGAGTGATTTTTATCAGATTTCAGTTCTTCATGGATTCATGGATCATATAAAAGTGATAGTTCAATGGAGAAAAAACATAATCCAATGACAAATGCCTCTGTGTTCTGTTAATTATGGTCAATGTAGGGACCTTTCCTCATAGAACATAACAGTATCAACTACAGCTTCTTGCATGCCTTCTGTGTCCCAGACACTGTGCTAAGTAAGATATACATTCATGTTGCCATGCACAGTCCTTTCAGGGATTGTGAAGCAGATATTAATTTCATTTTCCAAAACTGAGGTTCAGCCAGTATGTAACCAAGCCAGAATTCCATTCCAGCTTTGTCACTCTCTAAATCCAGGCTCTTCCTACAAACACAAACTAGGTTTCAGGAAGGCTATGAGACTTTGGCTATACCTATAATGTGCAGAACGAGTCTAAAGATCAGATACATATACCCCATGTCTGTAAGTAACTCATAGACTTGTGTGGTAGGCATTCTCCAAGTAGGTCAGAGAACGGACAACCTAATATTTGGTCGTTATAAATTTCTACTGATGTTGACAAAGAAGACTCCATCAACTGTGTGCTTGGTAGGGTGAGTGATGGGCTTTAGGACCACTAGATGTGGATCCAATTCACTTGACTTTCATGTGAGCAGTTTGTGTCACCTCTCTGAGCTTCAGTTTCCTCATCTATGAAATGGGAATAATGTTTTTTACTCTGAGTTAGAAAATACAGCCAAGGTCATTGGACCCCTCGGCTGTTGCTAACTCTGCTGTGGACCCTTCTTCCTGTGTTTCCTCAGGGAGGTTGAAAACAAGCCAGTTTATTATTATTATTATTTTATTGTGGTGATAAATATATATAACAAAAATTTGCCATCATAGCCATTTAAAGTGGCATGGATTATATTTACCATGCTGTGTTACCATCACCATTATCCATTTTGAAGTTTTACATTACCCCAAACAAGAATCCTGGAGTCCTGGTGTGGCGCTGTGGCCTAATGTGTCAGACTACAAAGTTGTTTGAACTGCGAGGTCGGTGGTGCTCACCAGCTGCTCCTTGGAAACCCTATATAGGGTCGCAATGGGTCGGAATCAACTCAACAGCACTTAACAACAACAACAAACAGGAATCCTGGTGTGGTGTTTTAGGATCAGCACTGGACTGCTAACCCACCAGCCGCTCTTTGGAAACCCTATACAGGGTTGCTATGAGTCAGAACTGATTCAACGACACTTAACAACAACAAACAGAAACTCATTGCCCCTTTAGCGATAATTCTCATTCCTCTCTTCCTCTGCCCCTGGTAACTACTAAAAGACTTTGTGTCTATTCATTTGCTTATTGTAGATCATTCATATAAGTTGTTGCTGCTGTTAAGTGACTTCGAGTCGGTTCTGACTTATGGCAATCCTGTGTAGGATTTTCAAGGAGTGGCTAGTGAGTTTGAACCACTGACCCTGTGGTTCAAACCGACCATGCAGTCCAGCGCTTTATCCTACAGCGTCGCACCAGGACATCCTTTTGTGTCTGACTTACTTCACTCAGCATCATATTTTTGAGGTTCATTCAAGTTGTGGCATGTATTAGAACTCCATTTCTCTCTGTGGCTGAATCATATTATGTTGTATGGACAGTCCACATTTTATTAGTCATATATTGATGGACATTTTGGTTGTTTCCACCTATTGGTGATTGTGATTAATGCTGCAATGAACATTGGTATACTGAAGCCAGTTTTAAAGGCTGCTAAATTGCAAAACAGCGACCCAACCACTGTGAAAAAGATTCCTCTATTCCATGTGTGGCCTTTAAGCAGCAGGCAGTATCCTGTTGAATTGGCCCTGATACGTTAGGGGTTATTTCCATACCCCGTGTTCATTGTTCCTCTTGCAGGGTTCTGCAATGTGGACCATCAGAACAAGGCTGGCTTTACTGCTGTGATGATCACCCCCTTGGCTTCTGCAGAGACCAGTGAAGACATGGCTGTTGTCTGGAAGCTTTTAAGAGAAGGAAATGTGAACATCCAAGCTTCTCAGGTAGGAGGAGTGAACATAGTCTCCTCTTTACTTAATGCAGAGGTACTTCTCTGCTTTATTCTGCCAGTGGGGTGAGATATGCCCTGAAAATCTGTGCAGATATTTTAACCCAAGAAGGCTGGGCCTCCAGATGACATCTATCCAAAGCCTGAGCATTTGGGTTTCTTCAAAGGTCCCTGAGACCCAGGCAGGATTGGGCTGAGGTCAGTGAAGCATTTATTCTGTGTCACTGTCACTATGGAAGAGTCCATCTGGATTCAACTTCTCAACCAAACATTCCCACCGATAGCTTTCTGTGAAGCCATTTGCTAGTTGGCTGCTCAAGGAATGCCCCTAGAGGTGACCCACCCTGATCTATGACCTCTGGGTCTCTAACGAGGCAGGATGCTCTTTAGAGGGCTGGTTCTTTAAAAAAGGTCTCCCCCTTGTTGTCTCTTCTCTCCCCAAAGCCCTTTAACAAAGTTATGAATTCCCAACATAATGGAGAGAAAGTGTAGATAGCCAGGTTAGGCAGGAATGACTACTGAGTGAGCAGTCTTAAGGATTAGGAGAATCCCCATTTCGCAGCTTCAGCCCAGTCATTGGCAGGGTGAGCTGATGACTCAATTACCAGGCTCCTAAGTGATGGACTTCCCAAGTCCTTTAAATATCCAGCCCTCCAAACACTCCTATCTTCTTACTTCTCAGCCAACCAGTGTGAGTGACACCGTGCCCCAGGCTCCAGAAGGGTGCTGTGGGTCAGGCTTAGAACAGTAGTTGTTACTGTGATCAAGTAAGACCCTAAACAAAGGTGGCAGCTGCGGAGTCCGGACATGTGTGCTCTACCAGTGCATTGCGCTCCCTTGAGTCTCAGAGTTTAAAGGGCACTTATAGGTAACTTAAATCTACCCCGTATTCTTTCTCAAAATTCTACCAAATGGACTCCAGCTTCCTTATACACTTACGCTGTAAGGGAATTTGCTTTCTACCAAAACAGCAGCCCTCATCCACCCGCTTCCTTTATTTTCACTCTGGGAAGCTCTGATAATTTTTTAACTTGAGCCAAAATTTGATACTCTGGCCCTTTTATAGAGCATTTAAATAAGAGAACTAGTTTAGAGTTCATTCCAAGAAAGATTTTGCAAATAAGAAGGTATAGGAGGAAACCCAGAGAGTTGGGATGTCTCTGTTCAACTTCTTGTCCTGTCTACCTGGGAACATAAAGTGGGGGTGTGGTCTTTACCCAGTAGGACTTTGAGTTAGACAAGACTCCACATGAAACAGTAGACATTTCTCAAAAGGGCACTTGTCTGTCTTTGACCAAGTGGAATGCATTTAACTCTTCTTCTTCTCTTAGAATGATCATTGATGGTAGCCAGCCAAACTGTCAACTTCTATAGAGGGTCTGAGATTTACTTTACCTTCAAGCTAATAAGTTAGCCTGTAGGTTGGCAGAGGATCTGAGGCTCATGTGTCAGAAAAAAAGGACAGCTAATTATACTCACAATAATAGTAGTAAGCACAGTATTAGTATTTGCATCCAAGCTCCAGTTCCCACAGAGTGGTGTGAGGTGGACCACATAGTACCTGTACAGGAAGTGGATTGTATTACGGGAGAGGAATAGTGAGTTTAGGGAATGTGCATCTTTTATAATTGACGATAAACATGCCTGACCTTTGCTTTAGAGGGAGATACTATCTCTCTCTTTCAAAGCTGTTTTCTGTACAAGCATCTTTAAAAGATAGACTGGAGAGAGAGAAAGAAAAAAAAAAAAAAAAAAAAAAGACGAACTGGAACAAAAGGGATGACAGAATAGGGCCCCATTCATAAGATATCCAGAAAGGCAAGAGACCAATGGAAAATGGTCTATAACAGTATGTGTAACACCCGTATTTCTCACCCCACCACCATCACAAGTGATTGCAGATGGTAGCTGATCCTGGTTATGAAGTTATTTTGTACACTTCATCTAATAGCAATTTACTGATGGTAAGAACCAGACATTTGTTTTCAGAGTGGTTTTCATCCTCTATAACCACCTACCTCATTGGTTTCATTTAAATAATTATGTTTCCCATAAACAAGTTAATTTTTACTGAACTGGCAACGTTTGCTAGAGAGGATGCTTGCCCATGATGAAAATCAGCCCCTTATTTTTGCAGAGGAGGAAACTGATGCTCTCAGAGGGTAAGGAACTGGTCCCAAGTCACCAAAGGAGAGGCAAAAATATGTTGCTACAGCTGTTTCCTTCAGCTACCCCAGGGGCCTGGTAGATATGAGAAGTGAAGGTACCAAGTTAAATGGGAGTGAATGGGGGGTCTGGGAGTCTCCTGGGGATACATTACTTATTTCTCTGTGTGTTTCCAGGGCCAGTGCCTGGCATACGGTAGCACTGTGTAAATAAATGATCACTGAATTAAACTGCATGTACTGAACCAGGAGGGAGGCAAGGAAGGAAGAAGGGGCCTGGAGTCAGGAAGAAGGACAGACACTGAGCACAATCTGGATATTATCATCTGGACTTAATTACACTTGGAAAGAGGGTCTGGATGGAAACCTAGTGGTCTGGTTAGTCCAGTAAACAACCATAACTTCTGAGCTTGAGTAAAAGCAGATCAAAAAGTAAGCAGCCATCTCTGGAAAGATCTGTGTGGGCCCTAGAGAAATGGAGAGCCAAGGATATCTAATAATATGAGTGCATTCCCATATATTAATCACCTACAACAAGACAAACTTTTGCCATACAGTATCTCTAAGCTTTGTATATTGATGATTGTATCTAACATTTACCTAACACTGGCAAAGCACTCTGTTCTGTCTGAAGGTCTTCTCAAATGTGGCAATTCACTCAGTTCTTAAACAACCCTATAAGATAGGTAATATTAAAATTCATTCCTTTTTTATCAGATAAGTAGGAGTCACAGAGAGGTTACCTTACCCACATTTACAAAGCTAGTAAGTGCTAGAGCCAGGATTGCTTTGATTCTAATCTCCTTTCTTTTCTCTAAACCCCAGCATTGTGGGCCAGAAAGTTAAGCCATCAGTGACAGCAGATTGGCACTTTAATCAATTAACACGTCAAGAAACTGATCCTCAGCACTTTCTATGTGTACGACTCTGTGCCCAGAGTCACAATGCATCTGACCAAGAGAGAAACAGAGTCTTGGCCTCGTTCTTACAACTTTACAAAACCTGATGTCCAATCAGCTGGACAAGTTTGTCTTGCCTAGAATCCGAGAGAACCATGAAAGCAAAATATTAAAAAATCATATGAGAAGATGCTGTATATATATGTAAAAAATCTATGAGAAATGAGAAGCGATACTTAGTTTGTAATGAGAAAATTTATTATTGTACATTACTATAATTATGTATCTCATTTGATTCCCACAAAGCCTCGTGAGGTGCATAGGACAGATCATTATTACATTAATTTATAAGAAATTAAAGCCAACAATTCAGGGGAGGCTAGTGATGTGCGCTCGCCAGGTTCACACACTAGTAAACAGCAGTACTAGAACTTGAACTCAGCTTTCTGACTCTTGTCCATTGCTACACCAGTGGCTACAGATTACAAATGACCCCAAGGAAATATAAACAGGTATCTTGTTGAGGCAAGATGGTTCTGGGTGTCATTAAACAGTTGCCATAATTTTTAGAAAGATAAGATTATAAAATGTGAAAATACCCGAGGCCTTCAAAGCAGGCCCAAACCTTGTGCAGCAAGTCAGACTTGGGCAAATAGTCAGAAGCTACATGCTGGAGCACTGAGTCCTTCATTTGTTCCATCATTCAACCCTTGTCAGCATGTCCTTGGTGCTGGGCACTGAGGAGACAGAGATGAAAAAGACTCTGTCCCTGCCATCTAAATATCTCATAGTTCATGAGAAAGAAAGGTTGGCAGGTTGCAATACCAAGTCATAAGTGCTGGACTGAATTAGGAAACCTATACCTGTACAGGGTCGCTATGGGTCGGAACCGACTCGATGGCACTTCACAACAACAACAACAACATACCTGGGGAGTTAGGGAAGGTGTTAAAGAGGTAGCATTTGACAAGTATCTTGGAAGAATGCTAAAAGTTTGCAGGCAAAGAAGGGTGCATCCTGTACCAAGATTAGAAGGAAATTCCGACCAATGACCCTTTTCTTGAGAAGCCTTCAGAGAGCACACCCGAGTGAGAGAGGGTTCCATCTCTGTGGCTCTGTGTGCAGGGAGGTCAGACTGCTCTGATGCTGGGAGTGAACCACGACAGGGAGGACATGGTCCAGGCGCTGCTCAGCTGCCAGGCAGACATCAACCTGCAGGACCATGATGGATTGTCGGCCCTCATGCTGGCCTGTCACCACGGCAACATGGACATGGTACGGCTGCTCCTGGCACATCCGTCCTGTGACAGCAGTCTGACTGACAAGGTGAGACTTGTAGGTGCTGAGACCTACATGCCAGAATTCAATGCACTACACGGTGATAGCAACAGAATCAACCTCATAAGCTGGTTGTGGGATTTAATGAGATGATATATAGTAAATGCTTGACGTCTTGGAACTAGAAAAGCCTCTGACCCTAACCTTTCACACCATCGTCCTGCCTGAGCCAGTCCTGAGCCGCGTCTGGTCATCGCAAGAACAGCATGTATCTTTGAAGCAGCATCTGTGCTAGCTGGTGGGGAATTCCTGGAAAGCCAGATAAAGGAATCAATTGCAAATTATATCGCGTATCTGACAGTGACCCACTTTACAGAGTCTACTAAGAGAATCTGCTTGAAGTTGCGTTACCACCTCTTAGATAAACTTTCTTGTAACGTTATGATGATGATGATCATGATAATTGACATGTATTGAATGTTTAGTCTGTATCAGGTACTGCACTAAGCATTTACATGGATCATCTCATTTAAATTCTTCAACAGCTTCATGAGGCTGATTCTGTTCTGCTACTTTTCAGATGAGGAAATTAAAGTGCCAAGTGGATAATAATATACCCGAGATCACACAGCTAGCTACTGAACTCCTCTATGCCCATATCCTTCTTTTTTTTTTATTGACTTGATTTATTATTATATTTAAAACATTTATATGATTTCAAAGTAAAAAAAATACAAAACAAGGTGTAGAGAAATGTGGTTTCCATTGTTGTCCCCTTCACACTGTTTTCTCTGTTTTTTAAAAACTTTTTATTGGGAATAGAGTGAAGGTTTACAGAGTAAATCATCAGTTTTCCATTCAACAATTCATATACATTTTGTTTCATCTCATTGGTTGCAATCCCCTCCATGTAACATCACTTATCCCACCTCCTACCTGGGTTTTCTGTTTCCACTCTTCAGTCTTTCCTAAACACTCTGAGCTTTGTCCTTGGGTAAAGGCTGCCCTTTTGATCTCCACTGGCTGCATTCCTCACTAGTGTTATTGTTCCTCTCATAATCCTATCTTTTGTTTGACTGAAAATTGAGTCATGGGAGGGTGGGGAGGTAGGGGTAAAGTGGCGGAGCGGTGGCAGAGGGGGGTCATGGTGGTGATGAATTCCGTTCCAGACCTAAGCCGTGAAGAAGAACCATAGTCTCCAAGGCTCCCCCCGCTTCTATCCAACTACTAAGCCTAGTTTCTTTTATGATTTTAAGTTTTGTTCCACATTTTCTCCCACTCTATCCAGGACCTTCTAATATGATCCCGTTCAGAGAAATTGGTAATGATTGGCAAGTGATAGTTTACATGGGAGAACATTAGTTTTACATTCATTCTATCGTATATTGTTTCATTGCCATGGTTACAATCCCCTCCATGCAATCCTTCCCCGTACCCCTCAGGTCTTCAGCACACAGTCGCTCTCCCTCTCTGGATCTAAAGTCTCCAGCTGCTCCATCGCTCCACGTCATCATCTCTGGCTCCATTTC